TTGATCCCGGGACAAAGGCAGCGATCCTGGGACAGAGGGATTGATCCCGGGACAAAGTCAGTTTTCCTGGGACACAGGGATTGATTCCAGGACAAAGGCAGCGACCCTGGGACAGAGGGGATTATTCCCGGTGCAGAGGCAGCGACCCTTGGACAGAGGAATTGATCCCAAGACAGGGGTAGCGATCCTGGGACACAGGGATTGATTCCAGGACAAAGGCAGTGATCCCGGGACAGCGGGATTGATCCCAGGACAAAGACAGCGATCCTGGGACAGAGGGATTGATCCCGGGACAAAGTCAGTTTTCCTGGGACACAGGGATTGATTCCAGGACAAAGGCAGCGATCCTGGGACAGAGGGGATTGGTCCAGGTGCAGAGGCAGTGATCCTGGGACAGAGGGATTGATCCTGGGATGGGGCAGCGATCCTGGGACAGAGGGATTGATCCCGAGACAGGGGCAGCGATCCTGGGGCAAAGGGATTGATCCCGGGACAAAGGCAACGATCCTGGGACAGAAGGGGTTGATCCCGATGCAGAGGCAGCGATCCTTGGACAGAGGGATTGATCCCGAGACAGGGGCCAGTGATCCTGGGACAGAGGGGATTGATGCCATGGATGGATTATCAATTGGCAGGAGAGATTATCGTAAACATGGGTATTTATATGGAAATGGCTGGTGATGTTGGTAACATGGATCTATATTTTATTCCCCCATGAGAAATGGGCATCTCTGCCTGGACCAGCATTTATTGCCCATTCCTAGTTGCCCCTTAAGAAGGTGGTGCTGAGCTGCCTTCATGAATTGTTGTAGTCCATGTGCTGTGGATTGACCCACAATGTCCTTAGGGAGGGAATTCCAGGATTCTAACCAGCAACACTGACGGAATGGCGATATATTTCCATGTCAGGATGGTCTTGGAGGAGAACTTGCACGGGGTGGTGTTCCATATGTCCATATGTTGTTGCATTTGAACACGGACTGCTTCAGTATCTGAGGCGTCACGAATGGTGCTGAACATTGTGCAATCATCGGCGAACATCCCCACTTCTGACCTTATGATGGAGGGAAGGTCATTGATGAAGCAGCTGAAGATAGTTGAGCCTAGGACACTATTCTGAGGAACACCTGCACAGATGTCCTGGAGCTGAGATGACTGACCTCCCACAACCACGACCATCTTCCTATGTAAAAACTGGAAGAACTGCGGATGCTGTAAATCAGGAGCAAAAACAGAAGCTGCTGGAAAAGCTCAGCAGGTCTGGCAGCATCTGTGAAGAAAAAATCAGAGTTAATATTTCGGGTCCAGTGACCCTTCCTTGTTCTGAGGAAGGGTCACCGGACAAAAAACGTTAACTCTGATTTTTTCTTCACAGATGCTGCCAGAGCTGCTGAGCTTTTCCAGCAGCTTCTATCATCTTCCTATGTGTCAGGTATGACTCCAACCACCGGAGAGTTTGCCCCCTGATACCCATTGACTTCAGTTTTGTTCAGGCTCCTTGATGCCACACTTGGTCGAATGCAGCCTTGATATCAAGGGCTGTCACCCTCACCTCACCTCTGGAATTCAGCTCTTCTGTCCATGTTTGAACCAAGGCTCTAATGAGGTCAGGAGCTGAGTGGTCCTGGCAGAACCCAAACTGGGCGTCACTGAGCAGGTTATTGCTGAGCAGGTCCTGCTTGATAGTGATGTTGATGACAGCTTATTGTTAGGCTGGAGAGGGTTCGCAAAAGATTTACCAGGATGTTGGCAGGAATGGAGGGTTTGAGTTATAAGGAGAGGCTGGATAAGGTGGGATGTCTTTCACTAGCATGTTGGAGATTGAGGGGTGACCTTGTAGAAGTTTATGGAATCATGAGGAATATAGATAAGGTGAATATCATTTTCCTAGGGTGGGGAATTTCAAGATTAGGGCATATATTTAAGGTGAGAGGAGAAAGATTTAGGAAAAAAAACATGAGGGGGTAAATTTTTTAAACACAGAGTGGTTTGTATTTGGAATGACCTTCCAGAGGAAGTGGTGGGTGCAGATACAGTTACAATGTTTAAAAGACATTTGGATAAGAGCTTGAATAGGAAATGTTTGGAGGGATGTGGGCCAGGAGCAGGCAGATGAGACTAGTTTAGTTTGGCTTACGGTTGGCATGGTCTGGTTGGATGGAAGAGTCCATTTCCATGCTGTATGATTGATTGATTGATTGTCTGATTGTCTGATTGATTGTCTCGGGTACTGAAGTACAGTGAAAAGCTTTGTTTACAAGCAGTACAGGCAGATCACAGTAAGCAAGGATGTACAGATCAAAAAGACTTAGAGGAATACAGGTTACATTCCACAGGGTGTGCGTCAGGCGAGATCATCATTAGTGAGATCAGCATTATTTGAGGCTAGAGTCCATTCATCAGTCTGATAATGGCCGGGGAGAAGCTGTTCCTGTACCTGCTGGTGTGCGTGTGTTCAGGCTTCTGTATCTTCTGCCTGATGGAAGAGGTTGTAGAAGGTCATTACCGGGGTGCAATGCGTCATTGATGATGTTGGCCGCCTTTCCGTGTCAGCGAGCTGTGTAAATGGAGTCTATGGAAGGAAGGTTGGCTTCTGTGATGGTCTGGGCTGTGCACACCACCTTCTGTAGTTTCTTATGGTTCTACACAGAGCAGAGTCTATGACTTTACTGACAATCGAGAGTAGACTGATGGGGCAGTAACTGGTCGGTGGGAGTTGACCTGCTTTTTGTGTACAGGACATACCTGGGCAATTTTCCACATTGTCGGGTAGATACCAGTGTTGTAACTGTACTGGAACAGCTTGGCTAGGGGAGCGGCAAGTTCTGGAGCACAAGTCTTCAGTACTATTGCTGGAATGTGTTCAGGGCCCATAGCCTTTGCAGTATCCAGTGTCTCCAACCGTTTTTTGATATGACGTGGAGTGAATTAAATTGGCTGAAGACTGGTATCTCTGATGCTGGGGACCACTGGAGGAGGCCGAGATGGATCATCAACTGGGCACTTCTGGCTGAAGATTGCTGCGAATGCTTCAGCCTTATCTTTTGCACTGATGTGCTGGGCTCTTCCATCATTGGGGATGGGGATATTTGTGGAGCCTCCTCCTCCAGTGAGTTGTTTAATTGTCCACCACCATTCACAACTGGATGTGGCAGGACTGCAGAGCTTAGATCTGATCCATTGGTTGTGGGATCACTTAGTTGTATCTGTCACTTGCTGCTTTCGCTGTTTGGTGTGCAAGTAGTCCTGTTTGATGGCTTCATCAGGTTGATACCTCATCTTCAGGTATGCCTGGTGTTGCTCCTGGCATGCCCTCCTGCACTCTCCATTGAATCAGGGTTGATCCCCTGGCTTGATGGTAATGGTTGAGTGGGTGATATGCCGGGCCATGAGGTTACAGATTGTGTTGGAGTACAATTCTGCTGCTGTTGATGGCCCACAGCGCCTCATGGATGGCCAGTTTTGAGTTTCTAGATCTGTGCGAAGTCTGTCCCATTTAGCACGGTGATAGTGCCACACAACATGATGGCAATCATTAAGGATGTAATAACTGAGCATTTGGAGTCAGTCCCAGTCAGCATGGATTCACTGAAGGGAGATTGTGCTTCACAAATCTTCTGGAATTTTTTGAGGATGTGATCAATAGAGTACACAAGAGTGAATCAGTAGATATTGTGTATCTGGACTTTCAAAAGGCTTTTGACAAGGTTCCACACAAGGGATTAGGAAGGAAAATTAAAGCTCATGGTATCAGAGGTAAAGTGTGACATGAGCAGAGAACTGGTTGGCAGACAGAAAGCAGAGAGTTGGAATAAACAGGACCTTTTCAGAGGGGCAGGCAGGGACGAGGGGGGATACCACAGGGTTCCTTGCTGGGACCCCAGCTGTTCATAACATACATTAACAATTTGGATGAAGGAACTGAATGCAAAATTTCCAAACTTGCAGATGACACTAAGCTGGGTGGCAGTGTGTGCTGTGAGAAGGATGCTCAGAGGTTGCAGGGTGACTTGGACAGACTGGTTGAGTGGGCAAATACTTGGCAAATACAATATACAGTGGATAAGTGTGAGGTTACCCACTTTGGTAGCGAAAACAGAAAGGCAGATTATTATCTGAATGGTGGCAGTTTAAGAAAAGATGAGGTGCAATGAGACCTGGGTGTCATGGTCAAACAGTCGCTGAAGGTTGGTGTGCAGGTGCAGCAGGCAGTGAGGAAAGCTAATGGCATGCTCTCCTTCATAGTGAGAGGGTTTATGTATCAAAGGAAGGATGTCTTGCTTCAGTTATACAGGGCCTTGGTGAGGCCACATCTTGAGTATTGTTTGCAGTTTTGGTCTCCCTATCTGAGGAAAGACATTCTTGCTATTGAGGGAGCCTAGCGAAGGTTCAGTATCCTGAAGAAGGGTAATACCCGAAACATTGACTGCTCTTTTCCTCCAGATACTGCATAGCTTGCTGTGTTCTTCCTGCTCCTGTACGTCGACTGGAGGTTCACCAGACTGATTCCCGGGATGGCAGGACTGACATATGAGACAAGGTTGGATCGACTGGGCTTGTACTCACTGGGATTTAGAAGACTGAGGGGGATCTCATAGAAACATATGAAATCCCGATGGGATTGGACAGGCTAGATGTGGGAAGAATGTTCCCGATGTTGGGGAAGTCCAGAACCAGACATTACAGTTTAAGAATAAGAGTTAAGCCATTCAGGACTGAAATGACAAAGAATTTCTTCACTCAGAGAGTTGTGAACCTGTGGAATTCTCTCCCTCAGGAAGCTGTTGGGACCAGTTCATTAGACATATTCAGGAGGGAGCTGGGCATGGCCCTTGCTGCTAAAGGGATCAAGGGGTATGAGGGCAAAAGTAGGAATGGGATATTGAGATTGTAGGATCAGCCATGATCATATTGAATGGTGGTGCAGGCTCAAAGGGCCGAATAGCCTACTCCTGCACCGATTTTCTATGTTTATGTAGTTAAAACTGGATGGGGCTTTATTGCCAAGAAAAGGGTTGTTAATCCCCAGAATGTGGTAATAGAGGACAGAACTCCAGAAATGTGCTGTTCATCTGCAAAAGTGGATATTAATCTCATGGTGGTGGCAAAAATCCCATAATCTGAAGTATTACTCAAGGTGGGGAAATGGACTAATCAATGCTAGGATCAGGGTATTAATCTTAGCATTTGATGATAGAATCCTGAGAAATAGAGAATTAATTCTGAATTGAAGGATTGTGTAATAGACATGAAGTTGAAGATTTGTCCTTTGAATTCCCCTCATCTGAAACAGAATTTTGATATGCATACAGTTGGGCTATTTCCAGAGAAACTCTGGATTTGATGTCTGTCTTCAGTGAGGTTTAAATTCTTTTGTTAATGACTCACAATCATTGTGCCAAGAGGGTACTGGAATTCATCTTGGCATTGGGTATTAATCCAGAGTTTGGGATATTAATTGCAGGAGAGAGGTATGAATTCTGACAATTTGTTTGTTCGTTTGGAGTGCAGTGTTGTGATGAGGAGAATTGATTTGTTGACATTCTTCAGTACAATGACTCTGAGCTCTTAAGTAGAAACGATAGAAACTGTTTTTGTTTTGGCAACTGATTTGTAAAGCAGTGTATTTGATATGTTGAAGATTAGCTTTTGGGGGCTGGAATGAAATGTAATATCCTGTCAGTGTGTGCATTCCAATGTGGCCAGAGGCTGCAGCTGAGCCTCAGTACAGATGTGATAAGAACTATTTGGAAAGCTTCCCCTGTTCCTGGAAACTCACTCTGTCAACTCAGCATTGACACAGACTCAGTCAAGCTGCACGCCAACAGTTGGATAGCCTTCAATTACATGTTGGAGACTGTGCTGACACAGCTCCCACTGGAGAACAGGCGTACAGTCAGAATACTCAACTGTTGGCAGGCTCAAAGCAACGCCACATACTCTGAAGCACACTGTATCCAACAATGGACCTTCACTCACACTGGATAACATTCAAATACTCCTCACACACACATTGTACCCCATCCAACTCCCCCGCCTCACACACATTGTACCCCATCCAACTCCCCC